CAGATTCACTTCCTCTCACTGTATAGTGAGAGGAAGTGAATCTGAAGCCAGGCAAGAACCTTCCTTCCCTTAGAGCAACTCTTCGATTTGATTCAGCCTCAAGTCCTGGATTAATCACTGAGGATGGATCACCATCCAGTGAGAACTTTAGGGCTCTTTTCTTCTGGATGTCCATTTGGAGAATTTGCTGAGGAAAAAAGTGAAATGTGAGGAAAATGGCTTGACATTTCCAGCTTCCCAATGTAGAAAGTGATCTGGCTTCTGGGGGAGGTGTGTGGAATCCACAGAATAGCCAGTGGCCCTTTTAGTGTCATGGTGGAAGCAAAGCCGGGTTCATATAATTTTACCACCAGTATCCCACACACCAAAAATGTGACCGCACATGCGTGCACACTCGCTTTGCAACCATGTGCCCCTTCTGTCTATGCACTTTGTTCACACACACACAGTTTGCACACATGAGTGTGGCTTAAAAAATATGGCTAAATAGGATGACATAATGCGGGAGCAGGTGCCCGAGGCTTCCCAATAGCAGACTCCTTATTTTGACAAAAAAACAACAACAACATTTTATTCATTGACTGTGAATTCTGCTCATTCACATCCAGCAAATTATTTCAAAGGAGGATTTACAGTCACAGACCTTATCAGGCTTGGAGAGAGGCCAAACCGATATCTGCAAACTTGGCCAGGAGTCTCGGAGAGTCACGAGCCAATGAAGGGAAGTAATTGTCTCCTGCAAACTTCACTCCCCTTTTGCTCCTCTTTTATTTCCTCTGGGAGGAGCCATTCACTGTCCACCTGTGGCTTTACTCCCAAGTTCACCCCTGTTCTTTAGCTGTTCCCTTCGTCTGGCAACTCTGCGCATGCACACACTAGGAACAGGCTCCAGCTGTTCCTCTGCCTCACTGATGTCTGACTCTGAATGGGGCTGATAACTGGCATATGGCCCAGGCCCCATCTCTGTCTCTGACACAGAGCCTTTCCCCGACTCCAGGACTGGCCCATCTTCCTCCCCAACCTCCTCACTGTCTGGATACTCTGCCAGCTCCACTGGCCACTGGTGGGCGACAACAGTCATGCCCACCTGCAGGTCACCACTACTGGTTCACCCAAACCAGTCCGAACCAGCTGAATACCACCACTGGGTAGAAGAGTAGAAATGAAACTTTAGGACAATATTTCAAAGGATCCAAAGTGCTCTACAAATATTGAAGAAACATCTGGAGCTAAAGAATCTCTTTGGAGAGTTAGGAAAATGCAACCTCTCCTCACCTTTGACCCTGAGGGGCAACGTTGTGGCAGAAAACTCCCTGGCTTCTGCACACAATGGTTGTGTCATGGAGAATAAAAAAAGTGTCATTAGATATTGTCTCATTTTGGAGACATGAGCATAGAGTAGGATAGGATAGGATAGGATAGGATAGGATAGGATAGGATAGGATAGGATAGGATAAACAATGTTAGAAGGGACCTTGGAGGACTTCTAGTCCAACCCCCTGCTTAGTCTAATACCCTAATAACATTTGAGACAAATGGTTGACATTAGAAGAAATGGATAGTAGAAAAAGGTTAACTCTTTTTTTGTAATCACAAATAAAAGTGTTAAGATTGTTAATGGGCTAAAATATGCTGCAGGGAAAAAAATCTAATTGAAATATGTTTTTTTAAAGGAGTCCAATCTCAGGTCCAGTTGGTGGAGTCAGGAGGGGATGTGAGAAGACTTGGAGAGTCCCTCCGTATCTCCTGCGAAACATCTGGATTCATCTTCAGCAACCATTACATGTACTGGGTTAGAAAGGCTCCAGGGAAAGGATTGGAATTGTTGGCCAGCATAAGTACAAGCTCATCTCCTTCCAATTACTACCCAGGTAAAGTCAAGGGCCGCTTCACCATCTCCAGGGATGATTCCCGCAGCCAGCTGTATCTGCAAATGAACAATCTCAAACTGGAGGACACAGCTGCCTATTACTGCTCAACTTGCACAGTGAGAGGAAGTGAATCTGACGCTGAGCAAAAACCTTCTCATCAGAGCAGCTCTGAAAATGGAGTTAGAATAGAGTAGAATAGAATAGAATGCAGTTGAGTAGTGTAGAATAGAATAGAATAGAGTAGAATAGAATAGAGTTGAGTTCAGTTGAGTAGAATAGAGTAGAATAGAATAGAATAGAATAAACGGAGTTGGAAGGGACCTTGGAGGTCTTCTAGTCCAATCCCTGCTTAGGCAGGAAATCCTACGCCACTTCAGACAAATGGTTATCCAACATCTTCTTAAAAAACT